TTTTTATTCCACCCTACCCTTAATACTTGCTGAGATCAGCAGCCCAAATTCACGTAAGACAAAACTCAAATTAAGAAAACACAGGGGATCCTGAACCAAAATGTGGGGTGTTGTGATGTTATTGAAAAGTGGGCGTCTATGTAAGTAAAAGGGAAGTTGATATGAACAGAATTCCTACAGAAAAATGGTAGTATTAATATGAAAACGTGTGAGGAGCGGGGCCAATCACATCCAGCCTCAGAGGTTACATCAGAATGGTGCATCTCTTGAAAGAGGAGGTCAGAGCTTGTTGGGGGATGGAAACACTCCTTCTGCAAACAGCTACATCTATACACGTGAAAGTTTTGAGGGTGACATTATTTCAGTGACATCAGGCAGAACCTACTATAATGGTGTGTGGGAAAGACCTTGAGAATCTGGAGGAAGACCATAAGAGGCAGCTGAGTCCACAGGTGGAAGAAAAACATGGGAACCCTTTCGGAAGGGACTCTACCTAATTTTCCAGAGACGAGAAAGAGAGAAATACTTTCAGTCTTACAAGATCCCATTAATGTAACCTTATAATAAAGGAGGCTTTGTTCATATCGGGTGCTTCTTGTCTGGCATCTATCCATATGCTGTGTGTGAATGCCTGGGAGAATTCCTCTTCCAACTTTCTCCATTTGAAAGAAATCAAGTTCAAAGCTTTCTAACAAGAGTGTAATATATTCCCCCCCCCTTTTTTTTTGCTAACTTAAACCTATTTATTCTTTTCCTGTATTCACACTACTTAACGGAATAGATCTACTTTTGGGATTGGAACTACACGCTAAACCATAAACCTCCCTAATGGACCAGGTTCACACAACATGCCCAGCCACAAGAAAGCCTAATTAGATTCAGCATGTTATATAAATCCACATGCTAAGTCTTTAAATTATTTGGATGCAGTGGCTGGTGTAAAACCAATCTCAGTCACTCCCTTTAGGAACATTAAATGTCTCTTTGTCTCTGAACTCTCTCAATATCTAGAAGGAGGATTTTCACAAACATTTTTTAATCTGATTGCTATCACTTTGTGGAGTGATTCCTAAGGCTGTCTTTTCCAGCCTTGTTATCACTCAGATATCAGAGCATTCTTTGCAACTAACATGCCTATTAGAGAATGCTGGGAATTTAGGACTGACCAAGGTAGCCCTAAGGCAGGGGTCTTCAAACTTGGCCCTTTTATGACTTATGGACTTCAACTTCAGCCAGCCATGCTGGCTGAGGAATTCTGGGAGTTAAAGTCCACAAATATAAAAGGGCCAAGTTTGAAGACCCCTGGACTAAGGTCTTAACATCCAAATTTAAAGCAAGCTAGAAAATGAAACAGATAGATGGCATTTCTTTAAATGAAAGATAATTGAAAACATTTTCAGCCACAGTGGGTATGGGGTGGAGAAATTTTGATTTTCCCCGGTTATTTTATGGTTGGTTGAGTAAGCAGAGTTGCACTTCAGATCTGTGGTGTTGCAGAATAAATCTTCCTCCAGATTCTCTTTTACTCTGCAATCTTAGGCAAATGAACTTGAGTGACACATGAACTCAGGACTGCCAATTGCCCAACTCTGATGTATGTATTTATTGTAGACTTTGAGGTTGGCACCACACCCCTAGTAAAGGACCTGAACTAGAATAATTTAGTCTGGATTAGTTTCTCATGTTCCAGGCAGTGATTACACAATGCAAATTAAAAGCATTTAAAATAGCTCACTTTCCCCTGAAGCCTTCCGTAATATTGAATGAGGAAGGTTCCCAATTAAATCAAGAACTCAGATTCATTAAAAAAAAAAAACAGTGGACTCACCTGGCCTAGTTAGTTAACTAGCTACACAAGAGACCTTTAAGCCCTGAAATGGGTATTTTGGGGAAATTGTTTTTGAATTGGCTGAACTAGAGTAAGGAGACTGGTTGGGGAAAACAGCCCAGGAAATTTGAGACAATTCTTTTGTAGTTCACTCCTGTTCTCTGGTCTTTCTGTGGTGCAGTATTTTGGATTTAAAAAAGGTGTCTCTCAGAATTGGGTATGTCTAGTTTAATGAAGAGAAGGACAAGGGGGGACATGATAGCAGTATTCCAATATCTCAGGGGCTGCCATAAAGAAGAGGGAATTAAGCTATTTTCCAAAGCACCTGAAGGCAGGACAAGAAGCAACGGGTGGAAACTCATCAAGGAGAGAAGCAACCTAGAACTAAGGAGAAAATTCCTGACAGTGAGAACAATTAATCAGTGGAACAGCTTGCCTCCAGAAGCAGTAAATGCTCCAACACTGGAAGTTTTTAAGAAGAGACTGGACAGCCATTTGTCCGAAATAGCGTAGGGTTTCCTGCCCGAGCAGGGGGTTGGACTAGATGACCTCCAAGGTCCCTTCCAACTTTACTACTATTACTATTACTATTACTATGTGGGGTGCTCCCATAGCTATACTCTTAAAATCAAATTTCCAGAGAAATAGAAATCTCTCCTTTAAAGAAAAGGTTACTCCTAAGAGGTCCACTGAGTAGAAATCAAACATGGGGGATTGTAAGGTGGATTTACAGAAAGTCTGAAGAACTTGTAAATCAACTATTTTATTATAAGCAAAAACATAACTTCAAGTCTCATATTAGAAGAAGTTATTTTTCAGCACATAAAATATGGAAGCATTAGAAATGGAAAAGCAGAGATCCTATACCCAAACTTCAGGAGCTTTGGAGCATAGTCAAGTCACATTAACTTTCACACCAACTATTTAGGTTTTCTGCTTTTTCAGTTTAAAAGGAGGAGGGCAATAAACTTGGTCGCTCCTTGCTTTCTGGTGTTTTGCTGTTGCCATCTTATTGCCAGCAAGTATTAACAAAGTAATATTAAATTAATACTAATGAATACTACAAATTGTTAATTATATTAGATTAGAAGGAAAATATGCAAGCCAACTTTGTCCCAAATAGTAAGCAGAAATACAGTGATGTAGATATCGGACCTGAAGCCATGGAAAAGTTAAATCACATATCCTTTACAAGTTAGGGCAGGGAGAAAAGCTGATCTAGCAGTTTAAGTTGTAGCCTTACCAAAGGGAGAAGGCCCTACTCCAGTTGCTGGGCCTTGCTCTCTCTTCATACCACACACCATCCCAAACCAACCAACACGATTTCCAGTATTATCAATCAAAAGCCATTGAAGAGCAATTCCTTCATTCTTTCCATGATGGATTTTCCACGATTAAAAAAACAAGCAAAGAAGCCAAACGAAAGCCGAGAAGAAAATTTCAATACCCCCCCCCCCGATGCTTTGAGGAAAGAGCAAGGAAATCTTATGGACGTAGTCTCCTCTAGAAGCATCCAGCAAGAGATAGAGAGGCTGATGAACCAAAATGTTCTGGGCTAAGCACAAACCTCAGCAAATAAGGCTAGTTTTTGCAAGTGATGAGAGCCAAAAACTGAATCAAATCCATGAAAAGCCCCCTATATGCACAACTGAATGTAGGTGAATAATCCATATAAATATTTCTTGAAAGATACTTCAGAAATAATTTATATAGATGAAAATAAAAAATTGTAAATAATTCAGTATTCCTATGCATGTTTCTTTTTTTTTAGAAAAAACAATCCTGAAAAGTATCAACCCAAATCTATAACGCACATCCCAAAAGTTGTCCAAGAGTTAGGAAGACAAAAAAAAAGGTAGTTACCAGGCCTGTTTAATTTCAAACATCTTATGGCAAATTCACCATGTGCCATCAGATGAACCTTTTGGGACCTCTTTGTCCATTTGTCCAAAGCCATCTAAGATGATGATTTTTACTGATCTCAAGTTCCTACAAGTGTTGTCTGCACCTCTGCTTGTCTAACAGCATCTAACCAAACCATTGCCTTTAAATTCAGTATAAACCCCTAAACCAAGATTCAGAAAACCCATTGAATTTAGCTAAGTAAGAGACTTTACTGATTTTATTTAGAATCTTTGCTATATGTCAGCATTCTCAACCTTTTTAACATTTAAAGATTTGTGGACGTCTACTCCCAGACTCACTGGAGAAGAGCCTGATGCTGGGAAAGATGGAGGGCAATAGAAGAAGGGGACGACAGAGAATGAGGTGTCTGGATGGAGTCACTGGAGCAGTAGGCATGAGCTTAAATGGACTCTAGAACAGTGGTTCTCAACCTTTTTAATGCCGCAACCCCCAACCGGTCGTAAGTCGAGGACTACTCAACCAGTCGTAAGTTGAGGACTACTCAACTGGTACAGCACCGTTTGCAGAATGGGACTTTTGGCGGGCTCAGCAGGGCAGAGACAGCCTGGACAATTCCTATTGGCTTTGAAAGCCAATAGAATTAGACTCTATTCAAGAGAGTCTATTCTATTGGCTTTCAAAAGCCAATAGAATAAAAGGGAGTAGCACAGCTAAGGAAAAGGGGGAAAAAATGGCGGACTACATTGTTTGGCGACCCCCGTGAAATGGTCATTCGACCCCAAATGGGGTCCCGACCCACAGGTTGAGAACCACTGCTCTAGAAGATCGAAGAGGACAGGAAGGCCTGGAGGAACGTTGTCCATGTGGTCGCGATAGGTTGGACACGACTTCGCAACTAACAACAACAACAACTCCCAGAATTTCCAACAAGCATCTTAAAATGAGAAAGACTGTTATATATAATCACTGCTTTTCTTTGTCCCTGTTTTCTGTTGCTTTGCTAGTGGGAAAAAAAAGGGAAATTCTCACTAAATCTTTCTCATTTTCAAGTCTACAGGCTGCATAACTTAGTTTACAAAGTTTTTTCTACACTCTTTATTTCTGAACAAAAAATATCCAAGTACATTGTTTCCCTTTCCTCAACTGGTTTTTCTAGCTAGGAGAAAGAACCAAGAGCGCCAAGATCATTCAGGAAGTCATGTCAGCCTGATAATAACATCCTGCTGAGAACCTTAATAGTTGTGTTCACTTTTGTAGACATACAGTAATTACAGGTATAAGTTCAATAAATTCTTGTAGAACTCACAGTGCAGAAAATGGAGAAGTATTTTCAGTCACGAGTGTCTGAGAGTCTAGCTTTCCAAATACCAGAAGAATGAAGTCTACAGGTTTTTCTATTATTTCCTTGTGTTGCTGAAGTGCTTAAGGAAGTACAGCCAAGCTTTAGCTAACTGCTTATTGTAGTATATGTACCCTTGCTTTCAATTTAGGCAAAATATTCACCTTAGTGCCAAATCTCCTTATCTTTCCTGATGAATCTTAACCAAGAGTTTTCAGATCAGCCTAAATATTTAGAGGATTCCTGATGGGTCAGAGCAATTGTCCATTTAATCCTGCTTTCCACGGCCCAGCCAGCTATTTTGAGGAGATAGAGTAACAGGAAATGGTGATAGACTATCCCTTCTTGCTCTGTTGTTTGACTTCTTTGTAGTATATTTATTCTCATGACTAATGTAAGTACGAAAAAGAAAGGAAAGAAGTCAACTGGAAAGCTAAAGTAAAAGAAAATAGAAAAGAAAAAAAGCTAAAATGCTTCTTTACAAAAGTTGTAAGTAGACTTATAAGCTTGCCTCTTATTCTACGGATACAACATGACTCTCTTTTTTCTACAATCACTTCTATCTAATCATCAGATTATAAATCGTAAGTTCATTTATTGCTGACTGGAAACCCCTTATAGATTTTTTACATGAAACAGGGGGGAAAAAGTAGACCTTTCTCTGATCAAAGAAGTCAATTTGTCCATCTCAGCAAGTTCCATCATTTTCGCCAGCCATTCCTCCATCTTTCCATATTTTTGTATATAATAATCTCACTGCAGTTGTCATGTGCAAAAACAAGGCAAAATAGGTGGAGGAAGGAATACTGGTATGTCTGTCACCTTGAGCTGTCTATGAAAAAGATACTGCAAATACTGTATAAAAATAATGTAAATTTCAATCCTTTCAGCCACATATTTTTCTATTGTTCCATCCTATATCATATAGCCAAAATTTTTTAGTTCTTTATCATAAATTCTTTCACTGGTAATTCTGCTTCAAATTTCAATAAAAGCATGTACATTTTAATAATCACATGTTCACCATTTGTACACAACTCTATTTCAAACTCAGCCACACAATGTTCAAAACCATAAATTCTTTGGTCTATTTTTAAATCTAATAATTGTAGATAAGAGAACCACTGTGTCAGAACCTATATATTATTTATGGGGAACTCTTTTCTATTTCTTTCATTACTCTGGGTTCTGTCATAATCCTGAATGGGAGGGGGGAAGACGCTGTGGACTGTCTCTTTGTTTCTATCGCTTCTATCATATTTGCTCTTTGAACTGTCTCTCCCTTGATGTTACCTTGGGGTGAGAAAGGAATGTGCCTCTGGCCATCTGGCTTATCTCCCGTTTCAGAAGGGATCAGCTCCTTTCCCCACAGCGGGCTTAACATCTGAGGATTGGCCCATTCAAACTGACTAGGTAAACTACTGGGGTGGGCTTTGCTTGGGACTCTTTTAACCTATTGATCTGAGCGGGAAACCCTCAGATCCTGCCTATCATGCCTGCTATCAGCTTCTCCTAATAAAAGTTCCATTTGGAAGAAACTGTTACAAGTTCTGCTTTCTTAGGATGAGGTTTTGAAGTGGGCCCTGACACACTGATTACTATGTCCCTCTGCCATCAATTGTTCTCTTGAATTTATCTTGTATTTCGTTTCACAGAATTCTACATGTCACAATAATAAAGCCATATATTTTTTTTGCTTATTATATTTCTCAACTATAAAATGCTTCTTGGCTGAGAACCACAGAGGTGTTTTTGAACACAACCCAAGTTTATTCCATATTCTCAATATGGCACATATAATAATTTTAAAAATCCACATTAATCTTGACTTTGTTGTATCACAAATATCCATGCCACCCAAAGCTTAGGTTGTATCCTCTTCACTCCAAACAAGTTCATCCAAACCAAACAGCAAAATACAACTTCAAAATGGGTAAAGTTAATTGGGTAAACTCAATCATCCTCATTCCTTTGCACTTTGTATCACTATATTTTCCCTCCTTCCAGACAAATTTAGACACATCCTTCTGCCATAGTTTAATCCTTTGTCTCTCACAGAGTTTTTGTTATATCTCCATTAATAATAATTTGTGCTTCCTGTGAAGTGTAAACAATCTTATTCATTTTAAGTTCAAAATCTTCCAGAACCCTGAACAAGAAAGCCCAGTTCAAATGGTCAAAACCTTTTCTGCATCTGCTCCGAATATTCTAAATTATTGAACACATTTCTAAGGTTATCCCTTGAGGTAAACACGCACGTTGATCCTCATGAATAAATCCTGGCAAAATTATTTTCAGTCTATCAGCTAAAATAGTTACAAATAACTTGCTGTCATTATTCAATAATAATATTGACCTATAATTTCTTGTTAAAGTCACATTTTCCCCTTCTTTAGGTATTAGTGGTTTGTTGCTCTTTCCAACTCTCTGGCATCTTTCATCCTTGTAAGGAAAGTTCATTATGTTTTATACATTTATAATCCATTTGGTACAAGGACCTTTCCTAGTTTAATCTTTTTATAGCTTCAGAAACGTCAGTGTTTGCCTCTGATCCTTTGTAATCTTCGATAAATTGTTTTCTTTGGATATTCATTTATTTTTCTCTAATGAGATGCCACTTCTTTTATATAAATTTGAGTAATATTAATGGATTTTTTTTTTTTTTTTGTACAGCTGCATAGTACAGTATCTCCCTCTGGTCATTGTGAATAGCTTTTTCTTTTCTCTTTCTGTATTTTGTTAGCCACTTCCACGGTTTGCTTATCAGTTCAGTTTTTTGCCTTATATAATTCATTTTTATTTCCATTGTTCTTACTTTTAACATGGTTAATTGCCATTACAGAAGTCTGATTTATTGAGAAACAGCTTCTCTGGAGATTTTAGTTCCACTTTTCTATTTCATTCAAAATAGCTTCTGTTTTCATTTCTTTTTACAGTAAGTTCATTGTTATGTTATATAAAATAACCTCCAATAAAAAAGCTTTACCTGCATCCCAAACCTATTCTTAAATCAGTACCTTTACCTTAATTATTTTTTTAAAAAATGTTTTTTTTTTACAACCTCCACTATTGCTTCTACTAGTGCAACCAGATCAATAGAGATCAGCGGACACAGTTTTTCCGGATGAGATCTTGGGCTTACATTCTGACAGCTTCTCCTTTTGAGTAGATTACAGGAACGGAGGTTTTAGTTGTTGGCTCATGACGGATTTCAACTACAGCCGTAATTGTAGCCAATTGTACAGTGTCTCATTTCTTAACCACTTTGGGATATAATTAATTTAAAGCTAAAGAGCGACTTTCTAAGCAGCAAGATAAGATTCCATTTGGTGAGTGAGAATTCTTTCCAGATTACAAAGAAATAAAGAAGTAAAAAAATATTGTAAGAACTTATATTTTTGGTAAAAAGCTTAATAAGGAGTCGATGTAAGAAAGTTTAAAACAAAGAAAGGGGACATTTATTTTGAAAGATTATTTTTGGGTGAAAGTGCTTTTGAACAAATTGGAATTAAATTAGACAAATGAACCAGACCTTCATGGGAATGTTTTTTGTTTATTGTTAACAAGTGCAGACAATTGGCGAATTTTACAAAACAAAAAGATAAAGGTAATATGAGCCAGGCTGTGATGCTGATTGTAACTATGATGATATTGATTGTGATGCTGACTGTAACTATGAGTGCCATTAGAGATGAAAATATTAAAGGCACAGGAAGACAAAAGAGAAAGAAAAGAAGAACCTTGCCTTTTCGTTTCCCCTTGTTTAAGACACTTTCCTTTTTGGATTATAATATTATAATGACAACCAGAAAAGTGGTGAGAATGGAGGGGAGGAGAGCGTTGCCACAGCTACCTATGGGGAAAAGAATTACAGCAGATTTGGTTCAGAAAATGGACCAGGAATTGAGAAATAAATTAGCTGAATCACTTGATACTAAACTAACTAAATCACTTGAGAACAGAAATGACCTACTACTATATATATCAGCAAGCATGCAACATACAATTCATTCTTTTGCACATTAAAAAAAAACTTCAGCTACAAAAAAAAAACCTCCTTTAGTGCATACATCTTTTTAAATCTTTGAGCATGTTCTTAATCAGATACACTTCACTGCTATAGAGTGATCAGCATCTTTACATGATTCCCCCATCTTGCCATCTCAAGAATCCTGCAGACAGGTCTTGTTAAGGACAAGCAGCAATGACAGGCAGATATGGAGGAAGGGAGCTCCAATTGCCTAGCACCAACTAAAAATATCAACCACTACTACGAGACTGATCTGTAAAATTACGCATGTCTCCTATAAAATGATCTTTATCTTCTGCCTTCCCATTTCAGTATATACATTTTCTCATAGTTTTCAAAACTGCTAACTAGAAGTCCAACTTCTGTTTTTCTACCAGAAAAAGAAGAGAGCTTCAACAGCACCAGAGCTAAGGGGAAGGTAAATGACTATAAGCCAGTCATGAGTTGTTACTCATTCTAAGAAAGAAGGTTTCTACTTTGGTACCAATCCGTCCTTTTAATCCTCCTAAATCCTCTTCCAACCGAGAACTCAGAATTGGGATGTTTTATCAGTTGCTAAGGAGAGAGACAGAAAACAGAGAAGAAAGAAAGAAACTTTTGCAGAGAAGGAGTGGAAAAGACATAGAAAAGCAGCCTCCAAGGTCGGTTGGGGGTAGGGGGGAAGGTTGTTTCAAAAGACAATACTGGAATGAGTTAGTTACCCATTTAGCATCCTGAACACATTGCTTGGTAGTTACGTGGCTGTGCAAAGCATTTGAAAGGGGGCTTTGCAAAATGATTCACCCTCAAAGCATGAAGTAGCTATCATGTCCAGACAGACAGTTTAGTTTGGCTGTTCTGAGGGACAAACTTGACTGTTCGCATTTTATGTATGCACAGAAAGCCCATCTCATTCGACTGTCAGCCAGGCAAAGCAGCTAGGTATACACACACCTGAGCACAAGAACCAGGAAAAGCCTTCAAAACAGCAGCACCTGGCCTTTCAGAGGGGATACAGCTGCTTTAATGTTTCAACTTGTGCCAATGCACTTTGCGAAGCCCCCTCCCGTTTCATGCTTTGCACAGTCCTAAATGGCTAGTAAACAGATCATATATACGGCTAGGTTGTTGGAAAAAAGGAGAAAAGAGAGGTCAGGGAAACCAGTTTTTCAGCTAGTCTTCTGGCTTCCATCACCAGTCCGAATTTTTCGGGCCAAGATCGTCTCCTTGGTCACTTTCTTGCAGTCACTGGCCAATCCAAGAAAGCACATAAGATCAATAAAACTAGTAGTGACATTCCACCGCCAGCCATATTCACTTGTTGAGTAATCAAAGGGGAAAGTATGATGGTAATTATGGAAGCCTTCCCCTAAAAAGAGAGAGATAAACAAGAAGAAAATTTTATATTATTTATTCATAACATTTACTAGCCCCTCTTCATTATAAAATGCTGCTAAAGCCAGTGTGTGTGTGTGTGTTACATGGTTTACATAAACCATATAAAAGAAAAGCAAAACAAAAGATGACAACAACCCCACTACCAACTCATCCAAAACCCTGGGTGGGGCAAGGAAGATGGCGGTTTGTGTGAAGAGCTTACACCTCTGAACAGGGAGGGAGTTTTTGCAATTTGGAAAATATTTCTCTTGTTTTCCTCGCAAGGAAGCAAACCCAAGGCAAGCACCACCAAGAGGGCAGTGTTGAGATGGGAGCGAAGGGTTTTCTGATCTCCTTGTCACCATCTTGTGGCCTTCCTGAGATTTGCACCAGTAATCTGGTAGCCCTTTCCAGTTCAGCGCTGGGTTTTACAGATCAGTTCAAGGACTTTATGCTTGACTTGGTAGCATATTCAAATTCCCTATTCTTCACTGTTTAGTAGTGGATACCCTTCTATTGCTGCATCTATTGTTGCCTTACTGCCACCATTAACTTTAACTAACTTTAATTAAGCATTAACGCAGGTTTAAACAGCTCATATTTTATGCATACAGTAGCACCACAGCGCTAACTGGGTTAGACATGATTCATTTTCAGTCAGTTTTAAGTGGTGATTTACTATTGGAATAATGATTAGAACAGTGGTGGCGAACCTATGGCACAGGTGCCAGAGGCGGCACTCAGAGCTTTAGGCCTCTGCCGCTGTGTACAAAAAAAAAAAGGTTCAATCAGTCAATTTTAACTTCTCACAGGAAAAAAAAAGATCTTGCAAAGTTGGAATTGATTGAACTTTTTAGTCCCACCCAGTCTGCTGTTACCGCCACAGTCACACCCACCCAATGGGCCATGCCCACCCACTGAGCCACACCCATCCTGCACTTGACGATGCATAAGTGGGTTTTGGGTTGCAGTTTGGGCACTTGGTCTCTAAAAGGTTCGCCATGACTGGATGAGAACATAGAATCATAGGGCTGGAAGAGACCATCCTGGCCAAATGGTTAGTCCAGTCTATTCTTGAAACCTCCCGTGATTGAGCACCCACAACTCCAGGAGGCAAGCTGTTCCACTGGTTAATTGTTCTGTCAGAAAAGTTCTCCTTATTTCTAGATTGGATTGTTCTTTAGCAATCTTCCACCCATTACTTCTTGTCCTGCCCTTGTTGAAAGCAAGACTTCCATTGCTAGATTTACATGTTCACAACAAAACTTTGATAGGAAATCTATATTTCTTTTTTTAAAAAAAATACAACTTTAGGAAACCTCTAGCCCAGAGGTAGGCCACCTTGGCTCTTTTATGACTCGTGGACTTCAACTTCCAGAATTCCTGAGCCAGCCATGCTGAGGGGAAAGGGAGAGGTTTCCAAGCTGAGCCATGCTGGCTCAGGAATTCTGGGAGTTGAAGTCCACGAGTCATAAAGCGGCCTAGGCCTAGGCCAGAGGTAGGCAACCTTGGCTCTTTTATGACTCATGGACTTCAACTCCCAGAATTCCTGAGCCAGCCATGCTGAGGGGAAAGGGAGAGGTTTCCAAGCTGAGCCATGCTGGCTCAGGAATTCTGGGAGTTGAAGTCCACGAATCATAAAAGAGCCAAGGTTGCCCATAAAACTTCCTTTCCTCTGTTTCCGGGGAAAAACTCCCCATTCCCCAACCTCAGATAAGTAACTGATGGTGGGGCAGGGAAGTGCTGTTATCTGACAGCTTTCTAAAAGCCTCTATTTCAGTGTTTCTCAACCTTGACAATTTTAAGGCATGTGGACTTCAACTCCCAGAATTCCACAGCCAGCAATGCTGGCTGTGGAATTCTGGGAGTTGAAGTCCACATGCCTTAAAATTGTCAAGGTTGAGAAACACTGCTCTATTTCTATCCGTGGAGGCTGTTTTACAACCAAATTCCCCCAGTGGTTGCTGGGCCTGGATGTTACCGAGAAAAAAGGAGCTATGTCTACCTTCTTTGAAAAACATCTCACATCACCCAAGGATCATGGTGCCACTAAAGACTGCTGGAAGGCCAGTTGCTGCACACCAGAAGGGAATTTTCAAAGGGGATGAGGGAGAGTAAAAGAGCTCTTGTTACGTTACCATCCCTGCTCTTCCCAATGCTTGAGAAAAAAAAAAAATCCTGTCCAATATTTTATTTTGGGTGGGGCAAAACCAATGTCTTAAATCTAGATAAGCTTTTGAAGACTCTCCTTTTAACTTTTAAAACAACCTGAACTTGAATGGGACCCATTTTTCTCGTTTCTTGCTGGAACAGACTTAAACTACTTAAACCACTCATTTGACCAGAGAAGCCAACTTGCTTGACTTCTCTCTGTCTTTTCCAAGGACGTGGAGTCCCGTGGCCTAGGCAAAATGCTGAACAGGAATGACTTGAAAAGGCTGTAAACAGAACAGCTGATCTTCTCCAAATTGTCATCCACCCATCCTTCATATTAAAACAGGACTTTAATATATCCTCCACTGGAAGGATTCAGTTCTTTATTTCTAAGAACTGGGTGGGGGGAAACAAAATCTTTCTCTTGGTTCCTCTGGAAAAAGACTCTGCAGGTGAAAATTAGCCCTTGGTCACAATGGAGGGTCTCTTAAAAGCTGCCGCTGCATGAGGAGAGAGGCTGAACTATCCAAGCAAGCAGGGAAAGAAAGGATTAGGTCAGTGGTGGCGAACCTATGGCACGCGTGCCAGAGGCGGCACTCAAACCCCTCTCTGTGGGCACACGCGCCATGCCCCGGAGATGGCAACCATCCAACCAGCCACCCACTAACTCGCCGAGATCCCACATGGCCGGATGCATCACAGCACCCATGTGCTCACTGGCCTCTGTGTGCAGGGGCCGATGGTGTCAGGCAGCGGCCGCCCCGGCCCCTGCCTCACCTTGCCCTGTGACAATGGCACCCCTTCCTCGCCTTGTCTCACCTCACCCAGCAGGATGAGCCTCTTGCCCACCGCCCCACCTGCCAGAGACCCCCTGGATCTCCCACAACCCTGCCCGGCCCCCACAGATGTCCCTCCCCACGAGCAACATTGAGGTGATCACGCCCACCTCGGCCACACCCACCCAATCAGCCATGACCACCACAGCCACACCCACCCAGTGGGCCACGCCCACCTGACACCCGGCGATAAATAAGTGGGTTTTGGATTGCAGTTTGGGCACTCGGTCTTTAAAAGGTTCGCCATCACTGGATTAGGTCTTTTTCTATCCCTTCTAGAGTGGTCATGATCTGCATTGGGTCCCTGATGGAGAATCAATGAAAAACCAGAGTTGAAGCACATCATCTACCCTCAACCTGGCAGGCTTCTTACACCTTACATACCCAAAGCTCCAAAAACCACAAAGTGATTTTCCCTGGGGTTGATGTGACGATCATACGGCCGATTGCCATACATGTGAGCCATGCTGTTCACCAACCAGCTGGCATTGAGGGTTGCAGTGTAGCGACAAATGGTCATCAGGAAGCTGATGAGAAAGCTTTCTCCCCAAAAATACCAAGGAACCCAGGAAGGAAGCAAGAAGCACATGAGGACCACTGAGGTCTTGTAATACCTGAGAAGGAAAAAAATGATGCATTAATATACCAAACTGTGAAGCAACATGGAAATCATAGCAGTGCTTTAATTTCTACGTTTTCAGTTAAGAAACTATTTGTGATACTGCTCTGGAGGGCAAAAATCAGACTCTAGTACAGTGGTGGCGAACCTATGGCACGTGTGCCAGAGGTGGCGCTCGGAGCCCTCTCTGTGGGCACACGTGCCGTTGCCCCAGCCTTGCCTCCCCCCATGACTCCCTCCTCACCAGCAGCCCCTCTGGAGGAGAGTCGCCCCCGAGTGTGGCCCATGCGGAGCAGCACAGTGAAGGACATGGCAGGCAGGCAGCGTAGACAAGACTCTGTCCTCACACCCCATCACACACAGTTGATGCTGCGGGGCGCAGGCAGAGGGCATGGCTGCCATGGCGCTGCTGGGCTGCATGGGTGAGTGGCCCTGCGGGCAGCCAGAGCAGGGGATGGGGTGGGGGCGGGGCCAGTTTTCGGGCACTCAGTCTCTAAAAGGTTCGCCATCACTGCTCTAGTAGCACCTTTTCCAATTAACAAATTTTATTAAAAGGCATAAACTTTCGTGCTACCAGATTTCTGATTTTTTGCCACTCTGTTGTAACACAGCTATCCTCTTCAAGACTAGTAAGTTTCATTCAAAAATGTTCAAAATTATGATTGTAAAAAAATCTGTCCTTTGACTCATGGAGTTGAATGCTGTCATGATAATTATTGAACATCCTGGAAAACATAGGTTCAATTTTTGGGTGGATTACTTTCTGAATTGATAAATTATCTTGATGCATATACAATTCTGATACGAAATGGAAGATAATATGCAGCAAATAAAAAGAAGAATAATTCAACAGAAGAATATAACCAAGCAATAAATATTTGTGCTCAGTTATCAATTCAACAGCAGACAGCAATTGCAGCAGATGATGAAAAGAATTCAGCTGACATTATAATTTAGTCAATGCCAACCACTTTTCCTAGATCCCTTTCGTTTTCCAGGCCTGCAATAACCCCTTGCTCACCTCCTCTGGAACATCACAACTTGATCAGCTTTCAGGTCAGACAAGTCCAGCTTCTGTCCTTTTTCAATGACATCAGGATGTTTGCGGACCAACAACCAGCCAATATGAGCAAAGAAAAAGCCCCGTTTTGCGTTGTGGGGATCTGCATCCGTCTCAGAGAACTTGTGGTGCACACGGTGATCTCTGGCCCACTCAAAAATATCATTCTAGATGAAGCACAAAGAGAATAACTTGAACAAAGAGAATAACTTGAACAATGTTTAAAAGTGGACCTCTCTTAAGATTTACTCCCTGCCTATCTCTAGGGAACAGGGAAGAAGGAAAAAATATTTTATTAATCCTTTACTCTAGTCCAGGGGTCTTCAAACTTGGCCCTTTTATGAATCATGGACTTCAACTCCCAGAATTCCTCAGCCAGCGTGCCTGGTTGAGGAATTCTGGGAGTGGAAGTCCATGACTCATAAAAGGGCCAAGTTTGAAGACCCCTGCTCTAGGGCAAGCAAAAAGTATCTTGCTTTTTAATTTTAATTTTTAACTTTTTATTCTATTTTAATTGTTTTGTTTTTAACTTTTTAGCTTTTGCTGTATAGGAAGCTGCCCAGAGCCATTGTATAGTGAGATGGGCGACACAGAAATCCAATAAATAATACCCCTTTGACTAAATCACAGGATGATGTTGGCTACCTGAGAGTTGGCATTTGGCCAGAAGTATTTGGCAACCATGTTTTGTCTACACATTCAGACAAAGGGTTTTGGAGATTGGCACGAATTTTGACGGAATGTAAATGATAGCTTATAGCTATCCCTAAGCCTTAAATTAATTAAAAACTGAGCAAGTAAAACAAAATGCAAACTGGAAACTTGTTTATAACAATATAGGACAGGGGCCTTCAAACTTGGCCCTTTTATGACTGGTGGATTTCAACTCCCAGAATTCCTCAGCCAGCAAGTTGAAGTCCATAAGTCATAAAAGGGCCAAGTTTGAAGACCCCTGCTCTAGGGTAAGCAAAAAGTATCTTGCTTTTTAATTTTAATTTTTAACTTTTTATTCTATTTTAATTGTTTTTTTTTTAACTTTTTAGCTTTTCCTGTATAGGAAGCTGCCCAGAGCCATTGTATATAGTGAGATGGGTGACACAGAAATCCAATAAATAATACCCCTTTGACTAAATCACAGGATGATGTTGGCTACCTGAGAGTTGGCATTTGGCCAGAAGTATTTGGCAGCCATGTTTTGTCCACACATTCAGATAAAGGGTTTTGGAGATTGGCACAAATTTTGACGGAATGTAAATGATAGCTTATAGCTAGCCCTAAGCCTTAACTTAATTAAAAACTGAGCAAGTAAAACAAAATGCAAACTGGAAACTTGTTTATAACAATATAGGACAGGGGCCTTCAAACTTGGCCCTTTATGACTGGTGGATTTCAACTTGTGGAGTTGAAATCCACAAGTCATAAAAGGGCCAAGTTTGAAGACCCCCGATATAGGAGGAAGCTTTCATGTTCTGCATGAGATGCCAAGTTTTATATAGAATCCCAGACCCAAATCGCAGGTGGTCTACCGTACTTCCTACCTGGAAAGCCATGGAGTTGACTACGGTCAAGAATATTCTAAGAGGTAAAGTAGCTTTGTAAGACCGGTGACTCCAAAGCCGATGTGCTCCAGCTGTAACGCCAAGACCAGCCAAGGTGAAGCACAAAAGAGCTGTAGAAGAGAAAGGGGGAAGAGGAGGGAAAAAATGTCAAGAGGATATAACTGATATCTTAGTATAACTCAGGTATTGCTTTCATCACCCCAAAAAGACCCAATTTAAAAAAAAAAACTGCCTTTAAGTTTTAAAAAAAGCTATAAATTAGATGGAAGAGGGATTTCTGTTCAGTTAATGCAACTTGTCAACTATCCCCTCTAGTGCACAGTTGTCTACATTCTTTCTAGATTCACTTTCACAACAAAAGATTTTTATATTCATTGTGTAGGAAATGGATCCTGTCTTCTATTGTGAAGTATCACAGATGTTCAGACATAAGTCCATTATCTATGGAACTCTTAAGAGTCTGAATTGTATGATTATCATGAACTATATGACTTAAGTGTTGCTTTGATACCACAAGTGATTAATTATCCGATTCCAAATCACTTTTCATTAGATCAGCGGTTCTCAACCTGTGGGTCGCGACCCTTTTTGGGGTTGAATGACCGTTTCACAGGGATGGCCTAAGACCATCGGAAAACACATATTTCCGATGGCCTTAGGAACCGAGACACCGCTCCGCATCCGTCTCCGCATGGCCTCCTCCGCCATTTGCAGAGAGAGAGAGAGAGACAGAGAGGCACTTTCGCTTCCCTTCTCTCTCTCTCAGGCGGACTTACCTCCTGCAGGGCTCCTGAATGGTCCTGTGCCCGGGTGCCCCACCCCCTGGGAGAAGCGCGGCCAGGGCCTCGTGGCCTTGGAGCCGCCTGGGGAAGCCCCGGGATCCCTGTTGTGAGCGGCCGCTGGAGGCTCCGCTGAGCGGGCCAGCCCTCCCGCAAGCCGTGGCCCAAGGGAGACCAGCCCCTGCGATCCCCAGCCAGCCCGACCATTGGACCCACTGGCCAGGAAGGCGCGCCGGAGTCCAGGCTGCTGGGAAGGGAAGGAGATTCGGCAAAGGTAGAAGAGGAGAGGGCCTGGGGCCCAGCGCTGGCGGCGGCTTCCTTACCATCCTCTTCCTCCTCCCCTTCTTCCTCCTACTGCCCCCAAGGCGGTTCGGGCAGGCGCCGGGGCAAGAGGGGTTCCTGAGGGGAGAAGCCAGGCTGGATGAGGGGCTGGCGGGCTGCACGGAACCAGCCCCCACCGCAGGTCTATCAGATGGGTGGAGGGCGAGGCCGGGCAGTAGGGGGGGCCGCGGCAGCAGTTTTCTCGCCCTTCTCCTCTCCTTCTTCCTCCTGCTGCCCCCAAGACGGCTTGGGTGGGCACCGGAAGGAAGAGGGGTGCCTGGGGGGGAGCAGCCAGGCTGGCGGGCTGCATGGTACCAGCTCCCACCACGGTTCCATTGATGGACGGAGGACCAGGCCGGGCAGCGTGGGGATGGCGGTGACCCCTGATGCAGCGGCAGCCGCCACTGCCGCTGTCCTCACACTGCCCGGCCTGGTCCTCTGTCCATCAATGGAGCCGTGGTAAGGGCTGGTGCCGTGCAGCCCGCCAGCCCCTCCGTCAGCCTGGCTGCTCCCCCCCAGGCACCCCTCTTCCTCCCAGCTCCTGCCCGAGCCGCTTTGGGGGCAGCAGGAGGAGGGAGAGGAGAAAGGTGAGAAAACCGCTGCCACCGCTGCCGGCTGAGCTGAGCTGCGGCGCCAAGCCGGTCTCCATGCCTCCAGGTTGCCCGGCCGCGCTCCACACTGCCTGGGAGTCTCCCCCACGTTGCCCAGCCCACCTCCCTTGCCGTCGAAGGCCGCCTCGGCCCTCTGGCACTTGGCGCGGCTGAGGGGCTGCCGGCCAGGAGCGGCTCCTTCCCGGCTTGCCAGGCTCCGGGCCTCAGAAGCGGCCAGAGGGCGGGGAAGAGGGTGAGGCGGCGGCAATGCCCGCATGTGCATCGGAGGCCAGCCGGCCAGGCTGGGAGGGGAGATGCAGCGCCTTCTGAGCAGGAGCTGGCGCTCCAGCCGCACCCCTCTCGCGTGCGATGGGCTGCGCAGCGTGGAAAGGGGCTCCCATGACCCCGCCACTTCGATGGTGCTCAGGAGGCTGGAAGGCGGCCAGGTCCCAGGGGGGCGGCTGGGAGAGGGCAAGAGGTGCCGGGATAAGGATGGGGGGCTCCAGGTTGGCGGGTGTGAGAGGGCGACCGGCGGCTTTGAGGCACAAGGATCCTCCGCACGACTTCCGAGGCCCCGGAGGTGCCGCCGCTTGGCTCTCCACCAGGCTCTCTGCCAGAGCCTCCCCCCTCCCCGGGCAATTGTGCGGAGCTGCTTGTGCATCCTTGGCAGCGCCTCCCCCCTTCAATCTCCTTCCTTCTCTTCCTTTCCCCTTCAATCTTCCTTCCTTCCATCTCTATCCCTTCCCCTTCAATCTCTCTCTCTCTCCTTCCTTCCTTCCTTCCTTCTTCAATCTCCTTTCTTCTCCATCTCCTTCCCCTTCAATCTTCCTTCCTTCCTTCCATCTCCATCCCTTCCCCTTCAATCTCTCTCTCCTTCTTTCCTTCTTTCCTTCCCCCTTCAATCTCCTTCGTTCTCCATCTCCTTCCTTTCCCCTTCAATCTTCCTTCCTTGCTTCCCCTTCCCTCCCCCCCAACATTTTTGAGCAAGGAAGAGTAAGCTTCTCCATCGAGCATGGCTATATTGTTCTTGTGATTAATCACTATGCTTTAATTATGTTCAATTCGTAACAATGAAAATACACCCTGCATATCAGATATTTACATTACGATTCATAACAGTGGCAAAATTACAGTAGCAAAATTATGAAATAGCAACAAAAATAATTTTATGGTTGGGGGTCACCACAATACGAGGAAGTGTATTAAGGGGTCGCGGCATTAGAAAGGTTGAGAACCACTGCATTAGATTATCATGCCAGCTCCTGCAAAGTAAGCACTCGTGCCAAAGACAAAATTACAAAACATTAACCCTAGTAATTCCTTAAGAGGCTTCAGATTTTACTCTTGCATAAATCACTTTAATCCAGTCAGGTGGCTTTGGGGTGGTAGGTTTTTGTCTTGTTTTGTTTGTTTGTTTTGGCTAACAAGGCATCCTACCTATTCAAGTCAGCAGAAAGTATCTGGATCCTGACAACTTTACTGCATCTCTTTACTCACTAGGCTTGACCTGGAACTTTTTGGAGTAATCCTGCAAAAGCTAAGATGCAGACAGGGTAGAATCTAATTCACCATCCAATGTCTTTCTTTCAAATAAATACTGTAAACCTAAATCAGGGGTCTTCAAACTTGGCCCTTTTATGACTTGTGGACTTCAACTCCCAGAATTCCTCAGCCAGGCATGCTGGCTGAGGAATTCTGGGAGTTGAGGTCCACAAGTCATAAAAGGGCCAAGTTTGAAGGCCCCTGAATGAATGCTACCTTAGGAACTGAGGGACTGGGGCAAAGCCTTCTTTCACACCTCACAGTTCTGGTGTAAGTGGTCTTTTAACATTCTTAGAAAAATTGCTAATAGTTCATAAATAGGAAATGCTGGGAACAGAATTCTAGATAACCTCCATCTTGCTACTCAAACAAAAGGCAGATGCCAGTCAAGAAAGCCTTCATTTGACATTACTACTTTTCAGAATCATTGAGCAAATGGACATGCAAATCTGAGCACTGTATTTCAGCTGCATCTATTTGTTATGACTTTGAACATCCCGTTAATCTCACTGGTCTGAAAATAAGCAAAAAGATTTGGCCCAGAAAAAAAAAAAGAAACAGGCCATATTATAATCGGCAACAACTCCGGTGTTCCTTTCTTGTACAACTTCCCAAGGTTATAAGTTTTTCCAGCCTCACAGGATTGGGTAAATATTGAAACATGCAAATTAGTTAATTTAGAAATGCTTAACTGGCAATCTTTCTAATTACAACTGAATACTGAATAAAATAATGTGGGATTTTAAAAGCAAAAAAATCCAAAGCTTCCTGTTGTTGCTGAAAGAAGCCATTGACGCAACAAACTGAAAGCACCTATTATTCGGAAGTTTTTGCAAGACTTTATTTCAACCTCTCCCACAAAAAAACAGTTGTGAAGAATGAATAAATTTGGAAAAGAAGGAGTCGTCAGCAGTTCTCAGAATACATCTATACAAATAAACGAAACAGATTGATTTAGCAAGATGCAGTTCAATGGGGACACACGTAAGGTTAGGCATAAACTTATGCATCAAAAACCAAATGCATTTGTATAGAATAGATGGTACCAGACTCAACAGTAGTAACTCTGAGACAGATCTAAATGTCCTACTGGCCCATTGGTGGGATTCAGCCCGTTCTCACCACTTCGGCAGAACCGGTAGCTAATTTTTTGTTGCCCAGGCCCAGAATGGACTTCCAGAAGCGACATCCACACAGAGAACCAGTTGTTCACATATTTGAATCCCACCACTGTACTGGCCCCTCACTTAAATATGAACCAGCAATGTACTGCAGTTGCCAAAACAGCCAGTGAAATCCTAGGCTGAATCAACAGAAGGAGAGCATCAAGATCACGAGAAATGAGAGTACCGACTTATACTGCACTAGTGAGGCCACGCTTAGAATACTGCATCCAGTTCTAGTCACCATGACACAAAAGGATGTTGAAACCCTGGAAAGTGTAGAGCAGTGGTTCTCAACCTGTGGGTCGGGACCCCATTTGGGGTCGAATGACCATTTCACGGGGGTCGCCAAACAAGGCTGTCCGCCATTTTTTTCCCCTTTTCTTTGGCCACGCCCCTGGCACCCGGTGATGTATAAGTGGTTGGGGGTCACCACAACATGGGGAACTGTATTATGGGGTCGCGGCATTAGAAAGGTTGAGAACCACTGGTGTAGAGAAAAGCAACAAAGATGATAAAGGATCTAGGGGCTAAATCACGGTTGAACGGTTCGGGGGGGGGGTAAGAATGTCTAGCCCAGGGCTAGGCAACCTCAGCTCTTTTATGACTCGTGGTCTTCAACTCCCAGAATTCCTGAGCCAGCCGTGCTGAGGGAAAAGGGAGAGGTTTCCAAGCTGAGCCATGCTGGCTCAAGAATTCTGGGAGTTGAAGTCCA